GGGCCCCGTTTCCTGGGTGTCGTATATAAATCGCGTGCTGCACTGGAGGTCTTCAGAAACGCTTACGAGTTGCTGCCCCGGGGCCAGTTTCAGTTCGAGTCCGAGTCCAAGTCCGAGTCAGAGGCACATCATCAGCATCCGACTCGGACCTGGACCCTGGACCCATTCATTCGGAAGAAGCTCGGCTCCATCCTCGCCTGGGGTCATCTGGCAGCTCCTGTCTTCCCGTCTCCCTGGGAGATGGAGAGAGACCGACCTCATCGGCTAATGATTTCGGTATTTTTTTTGGTATTTCGTATCTCGTATTTCGTGTGCCAAAACAAGATTGATTTCCTAAAATCGAAACCTTGAGACGAGCAAAGTCGTAGAGACACGCAAGGGGCCCAGTGATCGCAGTGATAATGATGTCGAGAGCCAGTTTTTTCCTCTTCTGCTTTTTTTTCCTCAAAATTGGGGTGGTGGCTATGGCTATCATGGTCTGGGGTTCCGAGGTTCGCGTCCCCGCCAGCGAAATGCAAAAACAAATTGTTTGTGGGTCAAGCCGGGGCCTAACAAGGAGGACAGGAAAGGAGCAGGCTGGAGGGATGTTGCGGAGTTGCGGAGGGCGTTTCGTTGTTTCAAGGAATTCTTCAAGGGAAGAAGCAGAAACAGAAAAGGATGAGCGCACGAGGATGAGGAGGCTGGAGCCTGCCCGGCGGCGGGGAACGACCTCGTCTGGGGCCCAACTTTAGCTCCAACTCCAACTCCTGGCCAGAGAGACAGCACACGGAAGCCTAATGCTTGCCGTGTGATTTGTGATTTGTGCTTTTGGGCCTTCGGTTTCCTTGGAAAACGCGCCATTCTAGACCTAAGTTCTCTGGCAATGACAAAGCGCTGACCGCTCTGGACTGGATCAACTGCAGCAGCAGCAGCAGCAGCAGCAGGAGCAACATCAGAGGCTCGGCTCGGCACCAGCAGCATGCTAATTTATGAAGTAGCAACTCGCAGCGACATGGATGCAGTAATTATAGCTTGGTAACTTGTAGTCGGCCAGGCCCAGCTTCGGCTTTGGCCTCATGAATGGAGCCCCATCCGAGCCAGTTTGCCGTTTGCCAAGCTAAAACAGAAGCTGTTCTACTGCAGCAGCGAACAGCATCAGCCGCGAAATCAGCAAGCGTCAGGTGAACGTGAATGTGGACTGGGTTATAGACATGGACATGGACATGGACGTGGACGTGGACGAGGACGGGAACGCGCCCACTCGGTTTGTCCGCCATCCCGCCAAGAACACACCAAACGGTCAACAAACAGAACAAAAATGGAAACAAACAAACTTCGGAAGCAGAAGTTTATATACCCTTGCAGTTTTCAGAGTATTCAGATTCTTTCAATAAGCCAAAAATGAATTAATTTTCATTTGGAAAGCTGTTCCATGTTAGTATTTATTAGATTTATCCCGAATTCCAGTTCTATCCTTCCAGAGATGAATCCTTACGTGAATGCATTGATCCTGTTGCCAAGGTTTGTCTGTAGCACAAATATCTAAAGGTATTGCTGGTCTTCGTGCTAATGTGGAACATTGTAGCTTGTAAGTGCGTTTTTATCCAATACGTGCAACTTCTGGTGTCTGTTTGGGTAAGCCATCACAACATGGTTTACTTTGTGTTTACATTCTTTTTTGGTTTAGCAGTGAACATTGCCCATTTGCTATTGATGTACTACAAAGCATTCTCAACTTAAAATTGTTGGCATTTTTTGACACTTTTAACGATGCAACCCCGGATCAAATTTTGATAATTTTCGAAAAGCTACTTAGTTATAGTGATATAAATATAGGGTCGGAAATGACACCTTCACATATTTACAAGCTTCTGACTAAAGCCTAAATACGATTTTTTAGTCGATATAATTAATTCTTTTATATGACAATTTGTTCAACAAATAAAAGTTTAAAAAACTCATAGCTAGGCCAAAAAAGCACTAATTTTAAATCGGAAAGCAGCCCTGTGCTAGTTTTTAGTAGGGTAATAAATCTGCAAACTCAGTTTAAAATGTAAAAAAATCACAATTTTTGCCAATTTTAACGATGTAACCCCTTATAAAAATTTGAAAAAAATGGCAAAAATTTATTTTCTCTCCTTTATGGCTAGAAAGATTCGCCTGTTGATGCTGATCAAGAATATATATAGTTTATGGGGTCGGAAATGACTCCTTCACATATTTACAAGCTTCTGACTAAAGCCTAAATACCAATTTTTAGTCGATATTATTTATTTTTTTATATGACAATTTGTTCCACAAATTCAAATTTTAAAAAACTCATAGCTAGGCCAAAAAAGCATTAATTTTAAATCGGAAAGCAGCCCTGTGCTAGTTTTTAGTAGGGTAATAAATCTGCATACTCAGTTTAAAATGTAAAAAAAATCACAATTTTGCCAATTTTAACGATGTAACCCCTTATAAAATATTGAAAAAATTGGCAAAAATTTATTTTCTCTCCTTTATGGCTAGAAAGATTCGCCTGTTGATGCTGATCAAGAATATATATGGTTTATGGGGTCGGAAATGACTCCTTCACATATTTACAAGCTTCTGACTAAAGCCTAAATACCAATTTTTAGTCGATATTATTTATTCTTTTATATGACAATTTGTTCCAAAAATTCAAATTTTAAAAAACTCATAGCAAGGCCAAAAAAGCATTAATTTTAAATCGGAAAGTAGCCCTGTGCTAGTTTTTAGTAGGGTAATAAATCTGCATACTCAGTTTAAAATGTTAAACAAATCACAATTTTTGCCAATTTTAACGATGTAACCCCTTATAAAATATTGAAAAAATTGGCAAAAATTTATTTTCTCTCCTTTATGGCTAGAAAGATTCGCCTGTTGATGCTGATCAAGAATATATATGGTTTATGGGGTCGGAAATGACTCCTTCACATATTTACAAGCTTCTGACTAAAGCCTAAATACCAATTTTTAGTCGATATTATTTATTCTTTTATATGACAATTTGTTCCAAAAATTCAAATTTTAAAAAACTCATAGCAAGGCCAAAAAAGCATTAATTTTAAATCGGAAAGTAGCCCTGTGCTAGTTTTTAGTAGGGTAATAAATCTGCATACTCAGTTTAAAATGTTAAACAAATCACAATTTTTGCCAATTTTAACGATGTAACCCCTTATAAAATATTGAAAAAATTGGCAAAAATTTATTTTCTCTCCTTTATGGCTAGAAAGATTCGCTTGTTGATGCTGATCAAGAATATATTTGGTTTATGGGGTCGGAAATGATTCCTTCACATATTTTCAAGCTTTTGACTAAAATTAAAATACTCTGAAAGGTCAACAAAAGATATGGAGGATCTTCCATTGGTCGAAGCCAAAAGCGTTTAATTATATAAATAATTATTATAACATATTATTTATTTATATAATTATGATCGAAAATGATCATGAGGCAAGAAACATACCCCTTTTAAGGGTATCTGATTTTGGAAAAAAGCTAAGAAAAAGGTCCTACCCTGTGGCGATTTTGCTTTTGATGGGTTGGCTCTGCTGACTGCTTGCTTGGCAGCGGCAGAAACAGCATCAGCAACAGCAACTGCCGCAGCAACATGAAGCAGCAGCAGAGGCAGCAACATAGTTTACACACCTACCGAGGCTGGGCTCCTACTCCATCTCCATTCCAAGCTCGGGCTATAGCTACAGCTACAGCTACAGTGCTCCGTCTGCCGAACCCTCTGGCCAGCAACATGCACTTAACTGGTAGCCACAATGCACTTTATAATACCCGGGAACATGGCTCGCATCTCGGCTGCGGCGGCTGCTGCCCCTCCTCCGCCACTTGCTTGATAGATGCTTGGACGCGGACAACCCGGAGCGATCTACCAGGGGGCGTTGCTGCTGTGCTGTGCGGTGCTGTGCTGCAGTGCATCGGGGATCAGGCAGCGCAGATTGGAGATGGTAGATGCAAGATGCAAGATGGAGGGAAGCAGCGGCGGCACCGTTAGCTGACTTGTGAGCTTAGGCCTCATTTGCATCGGGCCATAAACTCGGTGGCCCAGATCTCGTTGCTCTAACCCGAATTCGCATCCGCCTCGGAGTGCCATTGCGAATGCGAATCCAATTGAGGCAAGGCGATGCGAACTCTGAGCCGGCGCTAGGCAGCGACCTTGGATTAGCCAAATCCCTAGAATCCGTTCGCCTTAATCCGTTTCTTCCTGCAGAGCGGGCAGAACAGCTCATTAGGCCAGGACACCACCCACCCAGGTAGGCAGGTTCAGGACTCTGGTCGAGTCGAGTCGAATCGAGTCAAGGGTTCGCAAGTGTTACCAAAATATAATTAGCCAACTCGGGCAAATCTCGTTTTAATGCAGGCCCAGATCAGCGGGGGTGTTGCTCTCCAAATTGGAGCGTATCGGACGGAAGGAAGGGCCAAGTGTGAAAAGTCAAAGTCGATGCAGATTTCCGAAAAACTGAAACTGAAAATGAAACTGAAACGGAGAGACGTCGTGGAATTAAAAGCGCAGCCGCCTCATCATCATCAGCATCATCCTTAGTCTCCTCTCACGCACAGAGGGAATTAAGTCGGGTTCTGGGTTCTTAGTTTCTTAGTTTCTCGATTTCCAGTTCCCCGTTCCCAGTTCCCAGTTCCGAGACATTAAAGACACCGACCGATGCCGAGGATTCTGGCTGTGGCGCCGTCCAGGGAGACAGTATAAATCATATCACTGGCAAACAAAAGGCAAAAGGATGAGAGAGGGGAAGCTGGCACAGCCCCTCGCAGTCTTTGTTAATTAATTGTGCACCTCTGTCTATGTATATATATATATATATTATGTGTATATATGGACACCTTTCCTTGGCTTTACATTTTCTTTCTTTGCAATAGAGAACAAATATAAATATTTACACATTAAACAATCATTTTTGGTAATTAAAACTGATGAAAGGATTTCGTTCAGATCAAGTTTGTCGCCTAAGTCTTTTGTTTTTTCTTACAACTTGTCGCCCTAAAAAACTGCAAAATCAAAGTAGTCTTTGCACTTTTGGGAGGAGTTACCAAATTTGAAATAAATAAATACAAAAGTTCTAGTATAGCTTCCCATCTTGTATCCATGATTATAGCACTCACCCAAAGTACTCTGTGGATTCTCCTGCTACTACTCTGCCTGCCGCTGCAGGAGAATGAGGGCAGGCAGGCAGGACTTTCGCTCGAGCCCCAGTACTGTTATATTCATGAGGAGATCCTCGGAACCTGGCAACCATCGCATCATCCCCAGCAGAGTATCACCACCAGGAAAAAGCAGCCAGCCTGGTGGTTCACCCTCGCCGAGAGCCTCTTCCTGCTGGTGCTGGTGAAGCTGATCCAGTTGTAGCCAAATCGTTTCTGTAATTGGTGATGGTGATGTAAGGCCGACAATGGAGGCGTCAAATGTCACACATGTTGCGCCTAAAAATCACACTGGATGCGGTTTTTTTCTTTTGCCCCCCCACATGATAATTTGCCGCAGGTCTGCGGATGAACGGATGGATAGCGTTGGGCTTAGGTGATTCTAATTAAATTGTTCGAATGTTTTCCAGTGCGCGCGTGGAAAATCGCTGACAAATGTTTCCGTCAAAACATGGAAAAAGTTTTCATTTTGTTTTTGTGTTTCGAAATGCAGAGGTACAGTGTGGCAAACAGAAATTATTGGGACAAAAGCAAGTACTTCATACAGAATAAATAACAAATTTCTCAATGTAAAATTATATATATTTATTTCTTTAATTGTATGTCCTTTTGAAGGGCATTATAATATTAGTCAGAAGCTTCAAACGCTGTGAAGGAGTCATTTCCGACCCTATAAACTATATATATTCTTGATCAGTATCAAATCTTTCTAGCCATAAAGGAGAGAAAATAATTTTTTTTTAATTTTTTCAACATTTTATAAGGGGTTACATCGTTAAAATTGGCAAAAATTGTGCTTTTTTTACATTTTAAACTGAGTATGCAGGTTTATTACCCTACTAAAAACTAGCACAGAGCTGCTTTCCGATTTAAAATTAATGCTTTTTTGGCCTAGCTATGAGTTTTTTAAACTTTGATTTGTTGCAAAAATTTTCATATAAAAACATACATAATATCGACTAAAAAATTATATTATAGTTTTAGTCAGAAGCTTGTAACGCTGTGAAGGAATCATTTCCGATTCTATAAATCATATATATTCTCGATCGGAACAAACAGGAGAATATTTCTAGGCATGTTTAAAAGAAAATACATTTTTCCAAATTTCTCAAAATTTTATAGGGGTTACATCATTAAAATTGTCAAAAATTCAAATTTAGATTTTTCTTAATTTAGAAACCCAATGAACAGATTTGTTTACCCCGCAAGAACTAGCACTGAAAAGCTATCCTTATTGGAATTAATGAATTTTTGGCTAAGTTATTATCTATTTCCCATTCGATCTTATGATTTAATCGTAAACTGCAAGTTATCTTCCTTTCTTGTTTTGTATACTTTGTTACCACTGTCAGAGTAAATACCTTAAGTACTAGGGCTAGGAAACCCTATTCTATGCTAAATTAAACCCAACCTTAGGACAGTACTTTTTCCAAAGCCTCAAAATAATTTAAAACGAATTAAAAACGCAGCCGTTTGAAACCTCCCGAAAATTCCGAAATATAAAACCAAACTCCACCGAACCGAAGGCGCCCAATTGAAAATAGCAACAAGTTAATTTGTTGAGCTTCCAGTTTTTGTGGCTCCTTTTTTTGGAAAGTCATTAGAAAAAATGCCACAGTCGGAGTCGGAGCCGAGCAGCAATTTGAATATTTCGATGCCGGGAAACTGGAGGGGCGCAACTCTGTCGGTTAATTTAAGGTGATAATTGCTTTTTAATGTGACACAACTAAATTTTTCCCCATTTACATGTGTTGTTGTTGTGCCGGAAGTTTTTCGGGCCTGCGCATGTGCAGCCAAAGGGGGCGGGGGCAGTGGGAGAGAGAGAGAGACACTTGTTACGTCGCAACAACAACAATAAAGTGTCAACAATTATTTTCAAATTTCCAAACATTTCATTTCATTCTTCGGTCTTTTTTCGTCGGTTTAAAGTTTTTTGATGTTTTTTTTGTTGTTATTGTTATTTTATTGTTCCTTTCGAGTGACGCTGCTTAAAAGGTTTCCCAAAGTGTGAAATTGGTGAAGCCATCGAAGGGGGACACATTCACTGGGGAGTTTCCAAGGGACGAATATTTCGAGGGGCCAAAGACGATTTAAAGCTCATTGATATGACTGGAATATAATGAGTAAAAAAATAGGACACTACTTGGGTCTGATAGTACTTTATACATTCCAGATTATAGATAAATATATAGGAAATACTCTTGATTATTTATATCTTAAAGCCTTAATAGCCTCAATTTATAGAATTTAGTTTTTAGTTTAATGAAAATCGTAATGCTATATAATAAAATTGCCAGAGAAACGGTTCTTAAATGTAGAGGATCAGTAAGTATCCTTCAACAGTAATTAAGTGTGATCAGTATTTAACTATGACCAGTAATTAACTATAACCAGTAAGTAACTATGATCAGTAAGTATCTATAAGCATTAAGTAAGTATGATCCGTAAGTATCTATGACCAGTAAGTAAGTATGATTAATAAGTATCTATAAGCAGTAAGTAATTCTGTACTATGATCAATAGGTATCGATGACCAGCAAGCATGTATGGTCAGTTACTAACTTTGAACACTAATAAACAATGACTTGCAACTTTTGTAACACAACACATGTCTGATACTGGGCCGGCAGCAGTCACTTCGTTCCGGGGATGTTAGAACCAGTTGGGAATTATAGGTACAGAGAGATATTTATTTTGGAACGCATTCAAGAAAAAACTATTTGAATGAAACTATGGAGTTATTCTTCTATATAATATTACTCGTATATAAATCGGACCATGGCGAATCGGTGGACTATATATATACATATATATAGCTGCCATAGGAACAATCGGACGATTTATAGATCTATAATCAGTAATCAACTATGATCAGAAATTAACAATGAGCAGTAAGTAACTCTGAACAGTGACTATCTATAACCAGTAAGTAACTCTGATCAGTAAGTATCAATGAACATTAAGTATCTATGACCAGTAAGCATGTATGATCAGTTACTAACTTTGAACACTAATAAACAATGACTTGCAACTTTTGTAACACAACACATGTCTGATACTGGGCCGGCAGCAGTCACTTCGTTCCGGGGATGTTTGAACCAGTTGGGAATCATATGCACAGAGAGAGATTGGTTTTGGAACAAAATTAAGAGCAAGCTATTTGAATGAAACTATGGAGTTATTTGTCTATATAATTTTATTGTTATATAAATCAGAGCATGGCGAATCGGTGGACTATATATATACATATATATAGCTGCCATAGGAACAATCGGATGATTTATAGGTCTTTAATCAGTAATCAACTATGATCAGTAACTAACAATGAGCAGTAAGTAACTCTGAACAGTAAGTATCTATGACCAGTAAGTAACTCTGATCAGTAAGCATCAATGAACATTAAGTATCTATGACCAGTAAGTATCTATGACCAGTAAGTATGTATGTTCAGTTACTAACTTTGAACACTAATAAACAATGACTTGCAACTTTTGTAACACAACACATATCTGATACTGGGCCGGCAGCAGTCACTTCGTTCCGGGGATGTTTGAACCAGTTGGGAATCATATGTACAGAGAGAGATTTGTTTTGGAACAAATTAAAAATCAAGCTATTCGAATGAAACTATGGAGTTATTTGTCTATATAATTTTACTCGTATATAAATCGGACCATGGCGAATCGGTGGACTATATATATACATATATATAGCTGCCATAGGAACAATCGGATGATTTATAGGTCTTTAATCAGTAATCAACTATGATCAGTAACTAACAATGAGCAGTAAGTAACTCTGAACAGTAAGTATCTATGACCAGTAAGTAACTCTGATCAGTAAGCATCAATGAACATTAAGTATCTATGACCAGTAAGTATCTATGACCAGTAAGTATGTATGTTCAGTTACTAACTTTGAACACTAATAAACAATGACTTGCAACTTTTGTAACACAACACATATCTGATACTGGGCCGGCAGCAGTCACTTCGTTCCGGGGATGTTTGAACCAGTTGGGAATCATATGTACAGAGAGAGATTTGTTTTGGAACAAATTAAAAATCAAGCTATTCGAATGAAACTATGGAGTTATTTGTCTATATAATTTTACTCGTATATAAATCGGACCATGGCGAATCGGTGGACTATATATATACATATATATAGCTGCCATAGGAACAATCGGACGATTTATAGGTCTTTAATCAGTAATCAACTATGATCAGTAACTAACAATGAGCAGTAAGTATCTCTGAACAGTGAGTATCTATGACCATCGGTGGTATCGGTGGACTATATATTTATATATATATATATAGCTGATATAGGAACGCTACGCAAATTTTAAGAAAAAGACCTGTAACTTTTAACAGATTTTCATCAAGTTTAATATATAACTATTATAAATTTTTATAAAATTTTGTGTAAAATTTTATGAAAATCAGACTACTATATCATATAGCTGCCATACAAACGATCATTAAAAATAGAGGAAAATGCAAACGGGTGAATGTAAAACTGTAAATATAAAATGTAATAAATAATACTTTTCATTAATTGATTCTTTGCCTTCGGTCTTTCCCTGCACTTCTTCAAGATCAAGTTAATTGTTTAGAAAGAAACCGTTATTTATTTTACTTCTTTACATATAAACTTATTTCTTGCAAGAAATCAGTGGTCCCATTCATTATTTCATTAAAATCACTGAACAAAATTAACTAAAATTAAGTTAAATAATTTACCAATCTCAATGCAATGAAGCCATCAACATTCAATGCCTGAAGACTCAATCGAAATTTCTGGCCAACGCGCCAACCAGTTTCCCCTGCTCCCCCCTCCCCCTCGTCCGATGCTGCCATTTTCCGGCCATTGTGTTTCGGTGGCTAATTGGCGCAGTTGGCATTTCTGCCACGGTGATCCCAGCGCCGGATGGAACCCCTCCAGAGAGAGAGCCACTGTTTGATCCTAGAATTCAATGAATACATCAACACGGAGTTGGGCCAGGAGCTGGAGGAGCGTGTTGGCCTGGAAATTTATTGGCCCCGGCCAGTGTCGGTGCTGCCAATTAACGCCGGGGATCCGAGAGCTTGGAGCCGTAGCCACCAGCGTTGATCTTTGAAGGCGACCGCCTGCATCTGGCTCTGCAGAGGAAACAACATGTGGATGGTATTGCACTGATCTCACTTAAAAATCAAACTTTTTTAAGTCTCGATTCTAATTTAAAACTTCTTAATTGTAATGATAATTATTGAATTGCCTTTATAGGCAATCAAATTTGATATATTTTCTTGACAAACGTATCTCATTTAGTGCCTAATCCTTTTTCCTCAGTGCATTTGCCCGCCGAGCCTAAAGTGGGAAGTGACTGCGATGAAGTCGTTGGCTCTGTTGGAGTCGTAAACTTTGATTTATTTCGAATTGAATGTCAATACAGGCTCACGGGGCTCCACAGCTCCAGCTCTGGATCTAGAGAGCCGCCGAGCCGCAGACCCGCCGAACCGCAGGCGGTCCTGACCCAATTTGGCGCCTGCTGTGGCGCTTTCATTAGCCTCCTCGTACATCATAAACAGATTCATAAACTGCACTTCTCGGACGATCGGTTTATGTTTATGGCGTTGAAAGGCGCATCGAATGGCCGTCTCTCCGACTGTCCAAGTTCGAGTGTTCTCCATTTCCGCGGTGAGGTCAGCCTGTAGTTTGGTTTTTGCTAGCCGAGAACTCGGCGGCTCTGCTCCCCCTTTTGGCCTTTTTCCCCTTGACCCTCTAGCCGTTCCATCCCCTTTGGTTGTGGGACTCATTAAAATGTAATTTGAGCGAGCGCCTTGCCTCGCATTTCATTTGGCTGCACTTGAAAAATGTAATATATTCTGTATAAAATGTATATCCTCATCATATAATATATGTAAGCTCTTTATTCTACTTATTCTGAAACTTTAAAATCATTTCAAATTACACACACCTCTTTTCCCATAGAAAACCCTTTAATAAAAGAATGTGAAAATAAGTGAAAGAGAGTGTAACTTGGGCTGTGTAAATTTTCTCCCAGTGTTTGGAGACGACGGTCAAGTGAGCAGGTCAGGCCGGTCGCAAGCCACCAAATGTGGCTCGGACGGCGGAGTCAGTTTCCATTTCATTGAGCCAAGAGCAACGCAACAACAGTTGTTGGTAGTTAGCAACCCCCAGAAGCTAGAAGCTAGTCCTGGCTCTTTCTCGCCCTCTGCTGGCGTCTCTTTCTCGCCATAGCGTTTGATTGATTTATGCGCTGGCCCTCTCGCTCGCCCACTCTCGTCCCGTCCCATCCGTCCCGTCATTTGTGGCACATTATTATTTAAATGATAAATTGTACTTGGGTCTTCGGGTTTTCGTTCTTTTCGTGGGTGTTTCCGTGCGCTTTCCCCCGCCTCGACTCCATTTTTTGGCCTTCCAATTTTCCGTACATTTTCCTTGAGCGCAGGTCTTTCCTTCTTTCGTCTTCTCGCCTGAGAATTAATCGTCTCATTTGTCCAAATGCCCATGATGTTGCCTTTAATTTGGGAATTAATGTTATTTGGTAACACAAAATCGATTTAGCTTCCGTATTTGCCGGTTTCTTTCAGTGATTTCTTTTGGCCGAAAAGTGAGATATCAAAATGGGAAAAGCTTAGGAGCTTGCATTTTGCTTCTTCCTTTTCCGGTTTAGGTGTAATAATCGTAATAAAGTGGAAACTAATCAAAATGGGAGAGAGTTTTCGAGGGTCTAAGGACTAGGTCAATATTGGTAATTAAGCGTTTTTGGCGTGAAAGATATTGGGAATAAAAGGGTATGCCTTTTTTAAGTTTTTTAAAATACTTTAATGTCTTTTTATATGCATTATTTTGTCTAAGAAATCCCCTAAGCCCATAAGCATTAGCAATCTGCATTACTTTAGCATCAATTAAGCAGCAGCTTCTCCCATCTGATTGATCCCATTGATCTTTATTTTATCTGCGACAAGTTGATAGATAAATTAATTCGCGCCGCGTCTGATTGACTTGCAAACGTGTTTGTTTGACATATTTGCACGTGCCTCGTGTGGCGGTAATTTGATTTTGATTTATGGCCAATTAATCGCATGGCCCAAGAGCGGCGCGGCACAACCACACACACCCAAGATACACCTGTATATTCCTCACAAATACCGAATCACTAACACACACACTCGCTCACACAAGTTTTGAGTGGGAAAAGAGCAGTAGCAGTAACGGTGGCCGCCGCCGCTTAGCTGGTAGTCTAATCATAATTTGCATTTAATAAATATTTCATTAAGTAATTGCCACAATTACGTGCATTTGAACTGTGTTCCCCGCTTTCCATGCGGCAGCGTTCCCTTTAAATTAAAGCCAGGTCAGGCCAGCAGAAAATGTGGCTTAAACCCGGACAGTGTTTTCCGGATCGAGGGATTAACATTTCAATTTCAATTGGTTACGATCTATAAAATCCATGAGTTTAACTTTTTATAAATAACTTTATTCGATTTCAGCGGCACTGTCTGGTTAATTGCTCGGTGTTCCTCATGAATATTCATTCATTCTCTGTGCAGCGGAAATCCTTCTCAGGTGACAACTTTTCTGGGCTCTAGCGGAAAAGTCCGCTGTTCTCCGTCTGGCCGAATGAATGAGAAAAACTCCGCTCGAGCGGGCCAAGAGTTGTCGCTTTTCGGCCAAGAGCCACAAAGCGACAAAACAGGGTTGTTGTTCGAAAGGACGCCATTTTGAATTGCCTATGCGCGCGCTCTTCCGCTCTCTCTGGCTCTCTTGCTCTCTTCCCCTGTTTCTCTCTCTCTCTATCTCTTCCCCTATGGCAAATATAGTAAGGAAAGTGGGCGTGGCTAAGTCTCACTCAGCAGGGGGCAGGGTTCTGACGAGTGTGTGTGAGTGGGTGTGTGTGTGTTTGTGGCTTGACAGGTGAGCAGGTTGGCCTGTTAGACTGGTTTGGCGGGTGCCAAGTGCGACCGCTAGGTGGCGACACAAGTACTAGACCTCAAAAGGAGCCTTAAAGTCTCCTCAACCGTTTTCAATTTCTAAGGGTAAAACCTCTGTGAAATGTTAAGAAACTTTGTATACTTATATACTGTCCCAAGTATTTAATATTAGCGGCATTATTTAGCCAGAATAGCTAAACCTGAGCAGCTAAAACGTAAACAAATCATTAACTTAATTCAGCCATTGATTACCGCTCTCGTTGAGGCGTCGTGCCTCGTTCGATTGAGCTAAAAATAACATAAACAGAGACCGCACCGAAAGGAGAAGCCAAAAATTACAGGTTCAACAATCAATTTAATAATTGAGACCTTTGCATTTAATCAACATTATTTAAAACGTCAAAATATTTGCACTTTCCAGGGGCTGTACTCCCACTCTCTCGCACTCTCCTGATATTTGCATACAAAATGCTGTGAGTCCCCCGAAAAATCCCAGGCCACGCCCCGCCCGCCGCCCTAGACCTAGACGAAAAGCAAAAGAAAAAAAGAAAAAACAGAGACTTAAGGCTAGAGGCAGGAGTGAGCTAGAGCGAGAGACCCCCTGCGGATGGGATTTATGGTATTGGTGCGGTCTTAACACCAACCACACGAACACACAGACCCCTCAAAAACCAGTTTCCAGCCCCGTGATTGGTCCCGGGAAGGGAGAGTGGCTCGTTGTAGCTGCAGCAGAGCTACGCTTTTCCCGCTTCGACCCAGGCTCAGCAGGCGGCAGCTGTCCCGCTCGCACAGTACGGCCACAGAGCGGCAAAGCCGCAAAGCAACACAGAGCGCCGAGGCAGCGGCAGTCTCGCGCAACCGCGAAGCGAATACCTCACCTAGTCGTATACGCACTTTGTTCGTGGGCAGTCGTCGTCGTTGCCGTTGCTGTCGTTGCCGCTCTGCCAACCGAATTCCGTCGTCGTTTCCGTTAAATCCGTCGCGAGCCTCGCCAGTGATTCGATCCGATTCGATTCGATCCGATTCGGTTTGATTTGATTTGAGTTCGATCTGATTCTGATCAGTGCGAAGGAAATACGTGTTCCATCAAATATTTGCAATGCAGAGAAAGCGATTGCAAGAGTGTTGAGTGCCACAAAGTGCTGAGAAAAGTGACCCGCGCCAAGCTGAGCAAGGATTTACGTGCTCAACTCAGCTATTCAGAGAAAATATAACATTATAGCAGTACACAAAGTAAGACAACATCAGACATCATCAGAAACAAGAGCTTTGAGGCGGATCAATATACCCTTGATACCGAATTCCTCTCCGCGCGCATCCCCCAACGGCCTTCAAAATTCTTGATAAAGTGGCCTCGATAGGCGCCAACACGCTCAACTTTACGGACCTCGGGAGCCCCTACGAGGGGCCTCCCAGCACCCCGCAGTCCGGCATGGACGCCCCCGATGCCCCGCACACGCCCAAGTACATGGACGGCGGCAATACGGCGGCCAGCGTCACGCCGGGCGTCAACCTGCCCGGCAAGTCCGCTTTTGTGGAGCTCCAGCAGCATGCCGCCGCCGGGTGAGTCTCGATCGTTGTTGGATCCAAAATCTCTGGAAAATTAACAAGGAAAATGTCTTTGTCGCGCAGACGTTAATTTGATTTTGCCAGCCTCAGATTTATCCCCAACTCGATCTAATTTGTGGCCTATTTGCCACTCCTCTCAAGGAGTTCCTAGCCTGGGCGTTCCCTTTACCATTCTTCGAAATTTGCATTGGGTCTTTGATACAGATATTTGTCCCTCTTAAATTATGGTTATAATGAAATTTAAAAAAGGTGAAGATTTAGTATATTTTTCTGTTGGAATAATTTTAACATCTAAAGAGGAAATCTAAATTATTGAAGAAATATAAACTTGCAGTTTGCAATTGAATTAAAGCACCGTATCGAAATTCTATCATTACCTAACTTTAAATATTCGCATTCTTTGAATCGATATTGCTTGATATTTTTATATGACAATTTTTCAAAAATATCCAAGTTTAAAAAACTCATATCTAAGCCAAAAAGCATTAATTTTAATTCGGAAAGCCGTTTTGTGCTAGTTTTTATATAGCTAACAAATCTGCATACTGAGATTTAAAATTTTAGAAATTCAATTTTTTATCAAATTTTATTTTTGTAACCCCTTTCCATTATTTAAAAAAAATTGAAAATTTTTGAAAATTTTTTTTTGCTGGGGATACTTAGAAAGATTCGCCTTATGATGCTGATCAAGAATATATATGATTTATAGGGTCGGAAATAACTCCTTCATAGAGTTACAAGCTTCTGACTAAACATATAGAACCCTGCAAGGGTATAAAAATTATAGTAAGCCTCTTTTCTTTAAAACATTCAAAAGAAAGTGCAAAAACTTATAAAATAACCTCTATAAAAATATTCAAGAATCATTGGCATTATTCACTGATCATAAAACTGTTACTTTTTAATTATAATTTTAATAATATAATTTAGAAAGGTCTCAAAATACTATTTAAAATGTTCTACTTAAAATAATAATGTTTTCGATTGTTTTGAAAATATAGCTTCCATGTGATTATTCTTTTAACAAAAAATATGTTTTATGACAATCTGTTAATATTTTGCAATACCTTCAAACTTTATCACATCCCATTCTTTAAAAATACATTTCCAAAAATTGATATCTTCAATAAATTTTATTTTTTAAATATTATGTAAAGTCACTTCCCTTAAATATATAAATGTAGAATATTCACCACTTCCCCTACTTAGTCGCGTTGCATTAATTAAAGCCCATTGAAAGCTTGACTTGATTCTACGACGGTTTTTGGGGATCGAACCTGCGCCTGTCTCTGGCCTCCCGCTTTATCATTATTATTTTTGATTAAGAAAATCACTTCAGCTGCATTTCCCGGCTGGGCAGTTCATGCTGGTGGTGCCTCCGTGGTGTGCTCGCCAAACGGAAGCCAAAAATAAATTCAATTAAGTATAGTTTGCTGCCGGTCGGTCCGCTTGTGCTAAATAAAGCCCCTGGTCTCTTCTGGACATTCGCCGGGGGTTCGAGTTCCAAGTTCCAAGTTGCAAGTTCGGCGGGTACGGCGGTCTTTATATTTACCGTTGACTCTGCCAACTGTTTGCAGCCGCAAATTGTTTTTCCCGACGCACGATTCGATTTTTCATTATACATATTTCATTGCATTCCCGGCTTTTGCGGTTTTCCCCGTTCTACTCACGTTTGTATCTTTCTCTCTGTCATTTGTGCGTGTTGGGCCCTTGAGCTTGGAATGCTTGGCTGCGCCAGGCCCAGCCTTCGGGAGTTGTCTCTCCACTCAGTCCCAGGCTTCAGTCTCCGTCTTAGGCCACGGAATGACAGCCATATTGCTATATCTTCTATATATCATACCGTGTCCGCTGTCCGTTGGCTGTCCATTGCGGTTTCTGCTGCGTTTCACCCGGCTCTGGGCTTCCGTTTCCGTGTTCGGGCCAAGAGGGCGACACAGAGAGCGGGCATTGAATATTTCATGCAGTTGGCCGGGCCAGCAGGAGCAGGAACATAATGCATGGGAACTCGTTCAACTGTTTCGCCGGCAGAGTGTTAACAAAATATTTACCAGGACTACCTACAGTCGAAACTGAAACCAAACTCTGACATTTGTATTGATTTTCCTTTGATATATTAAGCCGCATCAAGTTCGGTTTTCGGTTCTGTTTCTGTGTAAATGAAGTCATGGCAAAAGTTTTCCTGCCTCTCTGCCTAATTTTTTGTTGTGAGAGAAAAAGTTTTCGTTTCGTCGCTTTTTGCATTAAACATGAAACAACACATTTTGGGACCGCTTTTCTCTTTGTATTTTTCCTGTTGAATTTAATAGTGAAAAGTGTAGACAAAACACGCAAGGAGCTTGGAAAACTCGTGTCCCCGAGCCGGGCAGCACACGATTCATTCAGTGTTCTGCCTGCCAGTGTTTTTACGTTTTTACTGCCACACATATTGATTATTTCCCTTGCATTTTCCAGGTACGGAGGCATCCGGAGCACCTACCAGCACTTTGGGCCGCAGGGCGGCCAGGACTCTGGCTTCCCGAGTCCGCGCAGCGCCCTCGGCTATCCGTTCCCGCCCATGCACCAGAACTCCTACTCCGGCTATCACCTGGGCAGCTATGCCCCGCCCTGCGCCAGTCCGCCCAAGGATGGTAAGTAATCCATGGTCCTTGCAGACGGGGAAGCACCTCTCTTGAAGATCTCCCCGACCACTGACCGACCACTTCCTCATCTACGAATATATGTACATATATTTTTTGGCGACACTTGAACTCAAGAGCTCAGCGCTCGCTCGCTGCTCGAGTGCCATTGTTATCGTCTTTTGCGGGTTTCTTGTTTGCTCGTTGACTTCGAGTCTCCTCTCGGACCTGTCTCAATTAGGCTTCACCTGCAGCCAAATACAAGCACAATGTGTCTTCGGGTGTCTTTCACTTTCATCAGATGTCAATTTCAATGTTTAGACACGCATCGGTTATAAAATCCACTTGAAGGATAGCTCTACAATAATATACAATCATTTGAATTTCTTAAGAACTTTCAACTTTATATATTTCGCGTTCATACAAATTATTTTCAATACCCAAAATCTAATCACTTTCTGTAAAAAACCATCCAACTTACTTTGTCATTTCTGTGGGAGAACTGTGCAACCTTTTTGTTTCGTATCCACGTACTTGCAATTTTCCCATTTTATTTATTTTTTATGTCTTTCCTTTCTGCTTTTTGTACTCTTTTTGTGTACTGTATCTGTTTTTTTCATTTTTTGGTAATTTTTTTCCCAGTCTCTGGCATAATTGCGCGCTTGACTGTGACAATTTTGTTGTAGCGACTGCCTCTCGTATTTTGTTGAACAATTTTGTTGCTATTTCGATGCGTTTTGGTTGAGCAGTTTTCAGGTTTTTTCGCAGTGAGTGAAAAGCAATTCATTTTTTAGCCATTGTCGCGGGATGTGAACAAAACAAAAAAAAAAACGCCCCTGCTACAGCTCCAGCAGCCTCAATTGCTATCTTTGACTATCGTCGCTCATACGCAACGTGGGCCCAATTGACCTTGATGCACTGCACTTGAAATCATCCAGAAGAACAGCTGATCGTTAAGAGTGAAGAGTTAAAGAAAGAAATCCCCGGACAATTCTTTGCCGCTCGCCAAATGTTGTTTGTAACGATAATTGCAGTGTAATTAGGCTTTCGTTTGCCGTAATTAATTGCACCGTCTGATGGATGGATTGCTCTGTGTGTGTGTGTGGCCGGAATGGCCACCATTGGCCAGGAGCCAACCAGGGAGCGGGTGTCCGGCTGACTAATGTCACAACTTGCCATTTTGTCATTAAGCGAGTGCAGCACGTGCTGCTCCTGCTCGGGGGCCAAAAAAAGAAACAAATACAGATACAGATACAGATACAAAGATACGGATAAAGAGTGTTGGCTCCTCCACCTGTGGCCATATTTGGCATTTAATAATAGTTCGTTTTCGAACAATTAGCAGCGTCAACGGTCGCCCATTGAACTTGGGTCGATGATGATGATCATCATCAACACTAAAACATATCACATGTAGTTTTATGAGCCCAGTGGTGTGGAGTGCTTTGAACTTTCGCTTCGACAATTAACACTAATTCGTTGACATTTACAAGTTACTTAACGAATCGATATATCGGCTATAGCGCTACTCTACGGCTACGGCTGCCCCCGATTTCTAAGCGATGCGGCTGCAATTAATTTCAGGTCCATAAATGTAATAGTTTCATGCATTCCAGTGCGGTCCGCTGTGGGAATTCGCTCATAAATATGCATACAAGACGGAGCCTGGCCTGCAAAAAAGGGTTAAGCGTTCGGCCGGCCATAATTTCATAGCTGATTATAAATTCATCACTGCAGAGGCAGTGGCAGTGGCAGTGGCAGTTCCTGCCATTTACAGAGAGCAAGCAACCACTGATGCTGATGCTTTTCCTTCCAGACTTTTCAATCTCGGACAAGTGCGAGGACTCCGGCCTCCGCGTCAACGGCAAGGGCAAGAAGATGCGCAAGCCCCGCACCATCTACAGTTCGCTGCAGCTGCAGCAGTTGAACCGCCGCTTCCAGCGCACCCAATACCTGGCCCTGCCCGAGCGGGCCGAGCTGGCGGCGAGTCTGGGCCTCACGCAGACGCAGGTGAGTTCAATATATTTTCTTATATTATGATATATTAAGGTCATCAACTTGGTTTACGAACTATCTGAAGCTTTGGTTATTTTCTAAGTAATATTTTGAGCTGGAAACTTACTTGTAAGATTACAATTCTAAAGGGGAAATGTATAACTATCTAAAAAGAGTATCTTCTATATAAATTCAAAGGCCATCATCCCCCTTTTGATCCCTGGTCTACTCGAACCCCCTCGAGAGGATCCTTTGGTCCTTGTCCTGGGCTGGGCCCGCGGTTAGTTGGCATTTTGCAAATTGAATTGTTGACATGTCTCTAATGTTGACTGACAAACGAGCAAAGACAACGGCCGCTGAGACAACGACAACGACGACGATGACGACGTAACAATAGCGACCTCCTACGCCTGTGACCCTCTCACTTGACAGACACAAACCACACACGCCACTCGGGCGTATGTGCAATATTGTAATGTTCTTTTTGTGTGTTGTTGCTTTTCGTTCCACGTGTGTCAATGCCAATTTCGTGAAAAGTTTTTTTAGTTGCTATTTTTCACTCTCTGTGTGTGTGTGTGGTTTTTTATTCGCTTTTTTTTTGCACGCGCTGCTGCCCACGAAAGGGAGGTGGTTGCCATTGTCACAGGCAACACCCACCCGACGAGGGGCAAGTACTCGCGTCATACATCGCCAGCATCGAGTACTTCTAGTTTTGCGACTTCTGCTTCTACAGTTAGTGGCTTTTTCAGATGATGAGCCCGGAACATATTCAGCAGCTGTGAATGAGCCGGAGAACTGGAGAGCTAGCTGGTCTCGTGCTGGCGAGAATTTATTGATAGTGGGCGTGGGCTTCCTAATTGAATTAGTGTGCCACGAAAGTTCATGTGCTTGGCCAGAGAAAACGCAGAGAGGCAACCACCAGCAGACGACAGACAGAGGGACCAAGAAGCACACACTACAGATACCCCTATATATGAGTTTGTGAGGAAAACTAGTAAAACAAGTTGAAGACCCTGCACCAAAGGCCGCTGTATTGGTGGCGTGGGTGGTACGTTGTTTATCAAGATACCAGTACGAGTACCACTATCGTGCTCGTATTCGTTTTCCTATTTGAATATCCGCGGAGGAGTCGAGTCTTGGGTCTTGAGTCTAGAACGGGCGTGCCACACGGCGGCTGTGTAATAAATTCTCCTCCTGAGCCAGGCCATTGTTAGTCACCCAAAAAAAAAAGAAAAACTTAAGGAGAAGCAGCGGCAGAGAGACCCTGATTTCCTAAAGACTGCTGGCAGCTGTCAATCGAGGCAACTAAGCAAATAGCCACGCCCTCGGCGCCCCTCAAGCGACACAATCAATTTGGTCTATCTCTGTACTCCAACGCCGCCGGCTTTAAGGGGTTAAACAGTTTGGCCACAGAGCCCGAATTTATGACTGCACTTTGAGGGTGCTACCAACTCTAACAGTGCTGTCTTCTTGTCCTCTTTTTTTGGCTAAAATGTCAAGCATTCCCTGGCTTTAATCTTTTTTTTGTAGTTCTTGAAATGCAATTGTTATTATTTTAGAAATTAACCAGTTAATATGCTGATTTTATGACCAACTGTTTTGCATTTTAATGGAGGCTTGGTTTACATTTAATAATCATTTGTAAAACTGTCGAGTGCCATATATGGCATAAGGCATATACTTTAGTGTCGTGCTTCAATTTAACAGAATATATATAGGGGTTAATAGGTGCAATATCGAATTACACATTTGTTTACAGATTTATTAACTTGATAATGAAAGAAACGCTTTATAATAAAAGATAACTTGTCTAGATTTTCTTTTTGAAAAAGAATTAAAGTATCTTGTACTACTTCTTTATTATTTTCTTATTTAAAAAACATATATTAACATTGTGTCATGGACAACACTACAAGCGCTTTCGCTTTCCGCAGGGGGCAGGAAACTTTGTGCCGCGTGTTAATTAAAACCGCCCTCGTCGTTTTGAGCAACGGAAGTTTTTTATTGATTTGGCCAGGAGCAGGAGCTGCTGGCCAGGGGCTAGTCCCGGGTCCAAGTCCAACTCAGAGTCCTAGTCCAAGTTTGGTGTACCCCGAACACGCCAATGTTTGCGACGTGCAAACAAACCATTGTGCTAAGGCCCTAAGATTTATGCGTTGCACAAAGCCAACACCTAGCGGCCAAGACAAGACCAAGACTCTTGCCAACTTAATGGCCTTCGGTGTGTGCGAGTGTGTGTTGTTTTTTCTTTGTTTTTGTGGAGCGTGTGTTATACAATTCGGCCTCTCAGGCTGGACAGCAACTTGTCCGGCATCGAACTCTCGGGAGACACGTTCTAACACCTGCCATTCCGTTCCGTTGCGATCCTCGCCTGCGCCTAGTATATAGTTATGGTATGGAAATATTACTGCTCTGGCTGTTTTACAACTTTTTACTTTTGTACTGCATTTTTTTTATAATTATGGTAATTTTATTATGATTTTTTAGCCGCTGCTGAGGCTGCTGCTGTGTCTTCAGCGGCAAAAACTCGTTTGCCAGTTGCATCTTTCACTCGGCCACTTGCTGTTCGGTTGATTTGAAAGTGCATCCGGTGACTGTTAATGAGCTCGAGCTGTATACACTCATATACATGTATACTAAGCTATAGCCGCTTATTCGGAGAATAATTAAGTTTCAATTAGAGCAAATCCCGGCTACTGTTTCTCCCTATCTTGCTCGCCGCCGACTAATTGAATAATTACATAGAACGTTCAACTGGATTGCCAAAAGTTTTCAATATCCCCCAAGAAAGAAAAAGCGAGAGCGACTTTAGGCGACTTATGTATATGTACAGTCCCCTTTCAACAGGCTGCGCCGATCTTTATACCCCACAAAAAAGGGAAAAAGATTATAAAGCAAAGGCAAACTTGAAATAAAATAATAAAAAATACTTTTAAACTGCGTGTTTATGAGCTCATATCGGCACATTTTGATCTGGTTCCTCCGCGCTCCGAAGAAAGGGCGGCCACAAAAGCCACGAAATATTTTGTAGGAGGCCACGCTGGCTGAAGACAAAGGATTTGGCAGACGAACTGCCAAAACGGCGCTTGTGGGAGCAAAAGACAGCAGAAACTGGCCTTTAAGCCGGTTGAAAAATGTTGGTAGAACGGTGGTAGTTAACTGTGAGAGATATTTGGTTATAATCAGTAACTTGGATAACTTCATTTCTTTCTTTCTTATAGTTTTAAGACTTATAATTCCATTTCTTGGTTAACAAAACTTTTCTGAGGAACTCTAAAGATATTATTTTGATATTTTATGTTTATAAATTATTCAGTTTGGTGAAGTAATTCTACCAATATTTTCCTGTGACTGTGCCATTTAGGCCCTGGTCTGTCTTCAAAATCAACAACGCCTGTTTTATGAGTCCGCCCGTTCCCAAGTGTGTGTTCGAGAGTGTGTTTTTGGGATGGTGTTGTTGTTGTTGTTCTTGGCGAACACAGATGCAGACTTGGTCGGATGACGACGCAGCAGCAGCAGCGGCAGCAGAAGCAGCAGACGCAAACGCAGACGCATCGCCCACGGTGCACACCTTCGCTTTGTGGCCAGGGTTCCAGAGCTCCTCAGCGAAGATAAGTCTGCTTAGCTGCTCCACCCCTAACGTGAAACGTGGCTCCGACTCCGTCTCCGTCACCGTCTCCGATTCTGGTCTGGTACTGCTCCAAAGGTCATGGACTCCGCAGAGAAACCCAAAATGATACTTCGCTGGAATTTTTAGCAGGCCAAAAGACTCAGCAAGCAAATACTTGTAACCGAATTAAAATTAATTTCCACATCAAATAATACACACACACACACACACCACACGGAGAGTGCGCGTTTTTATTATTGTATTAAAAAAGAGAAAAAAAACTAGCACAACTTGATTTAAATAATACAAGTGTCTAGTTAGTATCAACTACTAAGCGGCGACTAAGCGAGAAAAAATGAAAAACTGGCTGACCGCATTTAAATGCTCGCTCGGCTCACGTTCGTTTATGCTGCTGCTGTGTCCAGCTTCGCGGCAGCAACAGCAACAGCAGCAACAGCAACAGCAACAGCAGCAGCAACAGCAGCAGCAACAGCAGCAGCAACTACAAGCAGCAACAGCAACACATCGTATATCAGTGATTGCCTGATTTACGCGAGCAATGTCAATTAAATTATGGCACATAATACACATAATACAATGTAAATGTAACCAAGCCACGCTCAGACTCAGTCTTAAACGCACACGCATATTGCAGCAACAGTCGCCGCAGCAGCAGCAGCAACATCATGTGCCGCAGCAACAGCTTCCCTGCCTGTCCCTCTCCCTCCCTATGTCAAAATTCGCGCAACAGGAACTTTGAATTAAGTTTGATCAGTGGTGATGCTGGTTCTGGTACCAGTAACACTACACTGGGATAAAAAGTGCACAGTAAAGTGTTAAATACTTCAGTGACCATTACGATATTTTCTCTCTGTGTAGCGACGACAGCAAACAAGTTGCCATTAACAATGATGCATGATGCCTGAGAGCGGGATCGTTCCTCTATTTCTCACCAGAGATCTTCTCCAGCTGGGATCCTCCCTTTCCCTCCCCCTTTCTCCAATTCTCCGCTGACCGCATTTGCATTTGAGCGGAGAAGAGTCCAATCTAACGCCATTCAAGAGCTCTACGGCTACGGACTGATGCGGAGATGAGACCCGGACAGTGGGACGAGTGTTTACGTGCCGCTTGTGCAATCTCGATTGCAGTTGACATAATTCGCCGTAACAGGTAGAGATCTCAGATCCGATTCAAGTCACAAATTGACCCACAAAGCGTGCCAAAAAAAAAAAAAAAAAACCACTACTTGGACAGTCACAGAAAGAAGCTACCTTAGATAGGAAAGATTTCTTGATAGAGAACTTAATGATAGGATTTTAGCAGTTAAAATAAATATAAAAGCCAAGCAAAGAGTCGGAAAGAAATGAGACTAGCTGCAGAATAAGCTTAAGCTTTAGTTTATGGC